TTTTATTTTCTTTCTTACTATTTGGTAACATATATTTATGTTGTGATAATTTATTTCCCCCTCCACTAGAATGTAAATCTTTAAGGTTAGAGATTTTCATCTGTTTTTCACATACATAATACAACATAGTATTATATGTAATGTATTACACATTATATAATATATATTATCATTTAATCAAGGAATAAGGAAAGGGATATAACATGGGATTTATAATCTTAACATTTTTTATATAAAAAAGACAATATTCAAACCATGTTTTTATCATTACTTTTGAATTGTTTCAAAAATTTAAAAATTTAAATAAAATAATATGTTCTATTGTGAGGTATCTAAATTAATTTTTTTTCTGTTTTGATAGTAAAGAAATCTGCTAGATCTTTAAAACAAGTGAAATCTTAAAAATCAAGAATTCAAATACTAAGAATATAAAGGTACAAACATGTTTTTGTTTATGGGTACTAATATCTAAAGCCTCTAGGGCACATTTCAGTAACTTAATACTTTTTCTTATTAAACAAAACTAGACAGACACCTTCTTTATTACACTTTCAAAGGACTGATTAAGGGAGATACAACTCTGAAGTTAAATAATAAAATTTATGTTGTTAAAGAAGAAATCAGCTTGAAAACAGATTTCCAGAATCTTCTGGGAATTTTCTATTGAGAGGTCTGTTTTTTTAAAATTATTTTTAAACATTCTAATTATTAACAAAAATATACATTTATGTCAATTATATCAGTTTTTGTATATATTTAATGATGACATACTCTTTCCCTTGAAAAGCTTTTATTTCAAAAATACTGATTAAAAATGACACAATAATAAATCTTAAAAACCACATCCATGTTTAACAAGAACTAATTTTCCAATGATTTGGTCAGCAAAAAATAAAACAATACAGTAAACTGTCAAAAAGAAAACAGTAATAATTCCATTGGGAAACAAATGAGTATCTTCTCTAATTATTAAGGCAATAACCATACAATATCAAATAAATTTCAAAGGCTAATTGGACAAATGTCAAGATGTGGACAAAAGGGCTTGTTTTCCATCTTTCAAAACCCTAGTGAAGATACAACTGAAAGAAAGCAAGTTTGCAAGGATAAAAATTATTAAATTATGTCTTTATGTTCTTTTCATTTTATTTTAAAAATATCTCTATATATAAAAGCCTAAGTGACCAAACGACCGGTCGACTGAACGACCAGTTGACTGGTCGCTATGATGTGCACTGACCACCAGGGGGCATATGCTTAATACAAGAGCTGCCTTCTGGTGGTCAGTGTGTTCCCACAGCCAACCTCCCTTGATCCCTTGCGCTGGCCCGGCCAGCCCTGATCGGCCTCAATGGGCCCTGATAGCCAGCCAGGCCAAGGGACCCCACCCATGCACAAATTCGTGCACTGGGCCTCTAGTATTATATAATAATTATATATAGTATGTCTAAAAAGACTTAATCTGCACTAATAAAAGAGAAAAATGCAAATTAACCATCACTCCACCACTCCGCTATACCCACCAGCCAATCAGGAGTGAGTATGCAAATTAACCCAACTAAGATGGTGGCAGCCACAGAGCTGAAGTGCGCAGGAGGCTAGGGTTTCCCCCAGCAATGGAGGAAACCAAGCTTCCCGCCTGCCCTGGCCGGCACTGGGCTCAAGGCTACAAAGCAGTGATTCCCAAAGTGGGCGCTACTGCCCCCCGGTGGGCACTGCAGCGATCCAGGGGGGAGGTGATGGCCACAGGGGCATTTGGGGGCGATGAGTAACTGCTATTAAAATTAAAAAAAAAAATAATTTCCAGGGGTTGAGTAATATTTTTTCTGGAAAAGGGGCGGTAGGCCAAATAAGTTTGGGAACCACTGCTATAAAGTTTCAATTATAGAAGATAAATAAATCCTAGATACCTGCTTCCAGCTGGCCCTGGCCTCCACTCAAGGAGGTGCTAAAAAAGAAAAAGAAAAAAAAGGAGAGGCTGGGAGCTTGGGTAGCCAGTGGTAGTGGCCAGCCTGAAAACAACCATCAGCCTCTCACCCAGGCTGGCCAGGAACCCGAGTAGGGACCCCCACCCTGAAGGGGGTGTGGCCAGCCTTAAAACAGCCCTCAGACCCTCACCCAGGCTGGCCACACCCCCATGAGGTGAGGGTCCCCACTAGGGGGCTTAACCAGCCTGCAAACAGCCATCATTCCCTCATCCAGGCTGGCCAGGCACCCCAGTGGGGACCCCCACCCTGAAGGTGGTGTGGCCAGCCTGAAAACAGCCCTCAGCCTCTCACCCAGGCTGGCCAGGCACCCTACTGGGACCCCTACCCTGATCCGGGACATTCTTCAGGGCAAACCAGCCGGCCCCCACCCATGCACCAGGCCTCTATCCTATATAATAAAAGGGTAATATGTAAATTGACCCTAACAGCAGAACCACTGGGAATCACTGGTCACTATGACACACACTGACCACCAGGGGACAGATGCTTAATGCAGGAGATTCCCCCTGGTGGTCAGTGAGCTCCCACAGGGGGAGCTCTGCTCACCCACAAGCCAGGCTGATGGCTGCCAGCACAGTGGTGGTGGCAGGAGCCTCTTCGACCTCCTCAGCAGCACTAAGGATGTCCGACTGCAGCTTAGGCCTGCTCCCCGCTGGCAAATGGATATCCCCCGAGGGCTCCTGGGCTGCCAGAGGGATGTCTGACTTCCAGCTTAGGCTCAATCCCTCGGGGAGTGGGCCTAAGCCAGCAGGTGGACATCCCCCAAGGGGTCCCAGACTGCGAGAGGGCACAGGCCGGGCTGAGGGACGCCCCCAAGTGCACAATTTTTTGTGCACCAGGCCTCTAGTATATTTATAAAGTATATAAGAAAACACACATCAAGACCCAGGTCCTGATTTCAAGTGCACTGTGAATGCTATTTGTGGAATTCCGTTCTCTTTACTTTTATGTACTTACTAGAGGCCCTGTACATGGAGGTGTGGGGTCCCTCATCCCGGCCTGCACCCTCTCTAATCTAGGATCCCTCGGGGGATGTCTGACTGCCTCTCGCAATCCGGGACCGCTGGCTCCTAACCGCTCACCTGCCTGCCTGCCTGCCTGATCGCCCCTGATCGCAGCTAACTGCCTCTGCCTTGCCCTGCACCTGGACCCAAGATTCCCTCTTCTGGTCGGTCACAGGCACACGGAACTCGGGCTTCCCTCCCTCTGGCCAGCTGCAGGCACCCAGGACCTGGGTCAGCTTCTCCCGGGCTGCAGCCACAGCTGCTGGCAACCAGGACCACAGGGCAGGTGGCTTGTCCCACTCCTGGGCCACAGCCCTAGCTGCTGCTTCCCAGGACTATGGGGAAAGTGGCTTGTCCCTCTCCCAGGCCACAGTCCTAGCTGCTGGCACCCAGGACCATGGGGCATGCAGCTTATCCCTCTCCAGGGCCGCAGGTGCAGGCACAGCCGCTGGCATCCAGGACTGCGGGGTGGGTGGCTTGTCCCTCTCTTGGGCCACAGCCTCAGCTGCCGGTGCCTGGGACCATGGGGCAGGCAGCTTGTCCCTTGCCCAGGTTGCAGCCACAGGCACTGGTGCCCAGGACCGTGGGACAGGGGGTTTGTCCCTCTCCTGGGCCACAGGCGAAGGCACAGCCACTGGTGCCTGGCACCATGGGGCGTGCAGCTTATCCCTTTCCTAGGCCACAGGCACAGGTGCAGCTGCTGGTGCCCGGGACCATGGGATGGGCGGCTTGTCTCTCCCCTGGGCCACAGCCTGGCTGGTTCCCATTCCTCTCTCATGAGCTCATTTGTGCCTTGCTGGTCCCCATTCCTTTTTCCCCAGTGTTGAGTTTCTGAGTCGTTATGGTGTTACAGCATGAGGGTGTGATGACCATTTGCATATTAGCTCTTTATTATATAGGATTTATGTATTTGTTTGTAGTTTGTTTGCTTATTTATATATTTAGCTATCCCATTTTAGGATTAGGGAGAGATCATTGGTTTTCTGAAAGAAGAATTTCCTCTCCACCCCTCCCCCCACTTGGATAAGGTATCCAACACATAATACATCAAAACGAATGAGCTTCATGCTCTGGGGTACAAGCGGGAGTAATGGGTGAATGATTGAAAAAATAATTTGCCAGGCTATTTTAAATTTCTGAATGGCCTAAGATTGAGACTCATTCACTCTGCCCAATTTTGTTGTTCTAAATTATTAATTTAGCCTGGAGAATGTGCTGAAATCAAATTTATTCAATTCTTAAATATTAAATGAATTATTTTACATGCCAGGCAGTGTTGTAGGTGGTCATTCTATGAACAGTAATAAACAAGAGAAACAAAGCTCCTGTATTCTTAGTGCTTCCATTCAATTAGGAGGAAGCACTTGGATAAAACCCTGGAGAAATGAATGATATATAAAAGAAAATAAATAATGGAACAATATTTTTTATATTGGAAGAGTTTGTAAAGTAAACTATAAAACAAGAGGACATGTATTTAATTAATAATCCCCCCTCTACCTTTTGCTATTTCACTTTTTGTTCATACACAGTATTTTCCATGTTTACTCATAAAGAAAAAATTCAGTATATTTTATATATAAAAAGTCCTGTTTCCTTATAAACAATTTATATAATCTGTAAATAATCTCCAATTTTTTTGCATCAGAAAATTTGTTACAGGTAAATTGAATATGATATCGACAGTATTTTACACTGAATTTTAGGAAAGTTGGTAAAGTTATCTAAATGGAATAATATTTTCAATGACTGCAAGGACTTTCTAGAGAAAATAAACAGCCTCATTTACCATGGATGCTGATGAATCAATTTATCCCCGAGGCAATGATATTAGTGTGTCACCTCTATAGATCTTCCTACCTGATTTGGCATGTATAAAAACAGTATGCGCTTTCTTTATTGATTAGATGAGGCTATATTAAAATCAACATCTCTAATCAATTGTTTAATCCAGCAAAAAGAAATGGGAAATATACTAAAACATTATCTCTGTTTAAAAAAACCAGGAGGAGTTAATCCTCATCAACAGCTTCTCTTTTTACAGAATAGTTTCAATGCTTGGTGAGTGATGGAATAATTAGGCCATCTGCTGGCAAGTGGCAAATACACCCAAACTCAACTAAAGCCTCCACAGTGGCACATCAGGGATTTAAAGAGTTAATTAGCAGAGGAGTTTTTTGTTTGTTTGTTTGTTTGTTTGTTTGTCTTTTGCTTTGTCCACATTAATAGATCATCTTTCACTTTAAATATTTTCCATCACAGTTAAATTACTTTAAACACTTCTAATTAAGATAGGGGCCTACATGCCCTAACCAGTTTGGCTCAGTGGATAGAGCGTTGGCCTGTGGACTGAAGGGTCCCAGGTTCGATTCCGGTCAAGGGCATGTACCTTGGTTGCGGGCACATCTCCAGTAGGGAGTGTGCAGGAGGCAGCTGATCGTTGTTTCTCACTCATGATGTTTCTAACTCTCTATTCCTCTCCCTTCCTCTCTGTAAAAAATCAATAAAATATATTTTTTTAAAAAAAGATAAGGCCTACACCACTAGGTAATTATAACTATACCACTTGCATCATTTATGTATTCAACTAATACTGATTGGTGGTCAGTTATGTTCAAGGCAGCTTTTTAAACATTATGGATTCAGTAACATATACAACTTTTCTACTTTCACAGAACTATTGTAGGTCGGCAGGTGTTGAATCTATAATAATAAAAGTGTAGTATACTAATTAGACTGGACGTCCTTCCGGACAACCTTCCAGATGAAGACGGGGCTGCGAGGGGAAGCCCAGGTCCCAGGTGCCTGCTGGCAGCTGGAGGGTAGCTGGTGCCGGAAGACAGGAGAAGGAAGGCCTACTCTTGCACAAATTTCATGCATCGGGCCTCTAGTTAACTAATAAAATTTTAATACCATAAAGAAATAGTTTTTCCTAAAGAATGAATATACCAAGCACTATATATAGCACTCTATAGTTTATAGTAAATGCTAAAGTGTATCAGTTCAGATTTTAAGAGAAAAACACACGGATTCTTGAATCTTTGTTCTAAAAAATACTAACTTACTTTGTTCTGAAAAATACTAACTTACTTTGTCAGCCAATGTCAACTAAATTGAATAAATGGTGCTAAAATGCATTTCTGAGGATTCTTGGCCCTTGTACACTGATTCTATTCCAGTGATCTTCCCAAATTGCAGTTATCCAAGGAAATGTAACTAAGGATTTCTTTAAGCAACAGTGATACTCTCCTTTCAATGTGAAGGACAGAACAGGACATTCCAGCCCTGAGATATCTGCATTAGGTCATCCAGAATATAAATTCACTAGAGGCCCAATGCACGAAATTCATGCAAGGGCTCAGCTCTCACAGCCCCGGCTTAGTCGGGAAGGACGTCTGGAAGGTCGTTCGGCTGTCTGGTCTAATTAGCATATTACATTTTTATTATTATAGATTGATGTAACTGCTATGGTTTCTGCTAACCCACTGAATGTGTTCTCCAGGTAGCTTGAGGACTTCAATTTTCTCGGACTCCAATTTGGCACCATTCCCAGTATTACACAC